TATCACACAATCACCACGGTGTAAGTGAAACATCAAAATAAAACTGAAGCAGAACAGAAAAATACTGCAGGATACACTGATTCTTATAATTTGATGTGCACACCCAAAACTGATAACACGGACTGCATATCATGGGTTGTGTATATATGGAAATATTTTTCCATGAAAACGTGGATAATAACTAGAACGTTAGTTCTCGCAACCTATGATGACTGAGTTTCTATAGTAAATTCATTCAACAAGATTGTTGACACAAATGAAAGATAGGATATCTCAAAACTTTAATTTTTGAATCAGTTGCAATTCACTGATGATAAATTAACGATACATCTCTTGGTCATTCAAACTTTGACAGTAAATCAGAACTTATATAGGTAAAATCTAAACAGACAAAGAAAAACGGACTCTTTAAAAACAGTACTGAAGTCACTGATTGATATGATTCGAAAAGAATGAGTTGGTACCGCAAAGTTTTAGGTCATATTCTTTCAAACTTATGACAATGTTTCATTGTTAAAACTATAACGTTTATATGATAAGTTTCATTTACTGCTCTTTAATGGAGTTTGCGGTTTAGGTTTGTCAAAATTCAATGGCATTTAGAATTAAGAATCTCATTCCCCTTTTGCAAATTTGGGCACGCGAAAGAAAGTAATGAAAGAAAGCATTTAGTCGCCTAATTAAGACTTAGCACGTACGTTATTAAAAGACGTGTGTATAAAGGAATTACAATCGTAGCCGAAAAGTTGTTTGTCTCAATATTGATCACACAATCTTTAACGAAAAGCCATTTTACATTATCATTCTTCCGAACTACAAAATTGACGAGCCGGATCGCGGTGTATATCGGCGGATATTTCTAATTCGTACTATGTAATGAAGTGGTGGCGGAAGGCTATAATGAACTTCGCACAAATTGAGTTTAATTCATCGATGAGATTGAAATTTAAGCCGGGAAGAATGATCATTAAGGAAACTAACACCAGGAAAAAAGCAATCAATAAGTTATTTTCGGGTTTATTTCGCTCACGATTATGTGTTTTTCGGTAGAGAGCTGTCTGTCAAAAGTTACATTTTCTTCTCAACTTGCAAAACCGGACAATGAGTTCCTTTCTCTGGAGCAGTCAGTAGGTTTACCGTTTTCTATTTCAGTCTTCAAGAGTCGTATTTTAAGCCATTCTCGTATTTTCCCCCCCTTTAATTTATCGAAGCTATTAGGCAATCCTCACCTTTTTTTTGTTCTTAAAAACGTCCATGTTTTCACAGCATGAACCTTTAAAATACCAAGGGCACCATAGCGCGAAGAACAATAACTGCGTTAGAAAAAATGAACTATTTATGTTGTAACAAGGTGAAACACGCATACACACACAAATTCCTTGTGTTTATTTTCAAGACTGCTGTTTGAAACAGTAGAAAGGCGGGTTTTATGCGTTTGTTTCTCCAGTGTATTACCAAAAGACTATGAATTTTTAAAGAGCGGAACAAGATCGTTTCAATGAAATACTAGTTTTTCAAATTGCCAAATATAAAACTTAATATTAATAAGGCATAAGATGCTTCATTTAATAACAAATGACTCGAAAACGTATAAACTACAAGTGCTTCCTTTAGCTGTAAAGAGTTATTAGAAACTGTCAAAAAATCCGACTGAAAAACGCGATTTATGATTTTTCATTTTATTGTTCTACAATGGCGCTTTCTCCGTAAAGGTGCAAATGAATCAGGTGGCTTCATGAGTGACTATTTTAATTTACTGTACTTTTTATTTTATATTAATTTTTATTCTGTGCATTTTCATAAATTTTAAACTATGCTCTGTTTTGCTATCACTTTGACGTGTAGGTAGCAAAGGAAAATAAATGTTGTTCGAGTGTTTAGTATTCTTTGAAAAGATCATCCATTTTGCAGATCTGGGCGTCATCTTCGAAAAAAAAGTCCACTTTTTAAAAGTGCTCCTGAACATGCCTTAGATAATTTATAAATACTTTTTGGGAAAGGGCAGCATTTTCTCGATATAATTAAGTTAATCAAATTAACTTATTTCGAACAGAAAGATGATTTCATAAAAATAAAATTTCATATCGCGCCGGGACTCATGTTGTCTCTCGTTTGTGCCGTTTTGTAATTTTGTCCAATTTTGGAATTAAGACAATGTTTATAACATGAACCTCAAATACGAAATGTTCTTACAACGAACACTGAGATAATTCACTTTGAAAAATGAATTTTACGCCCACTATATGACGTTAACTCGGCGTTTTTTCTACAACTGAAAATACGTAGTGTTATATTTTCATTAGTATATATTATTATTTTTAAAACAGTTCTTTTTGTCAAAGTCCTTCTAGGGCACTGTTTTACTTTAAGTCATAAAAAAAGAAAAGTGCCATAAATGTACCTTGTTTTCACTTGAAATATACGAACATGAAATTACATAATAAAATTTAAAAGTGCTGAATTTACATAGATAAAAATAAATAAATGTGTAAATAGATAAATAAAAAGCAGATCACAAGAAAGTACTCCACAAAGACACCATTTTAATAATCTGACTTTTACTTCAAAAATTAAACTTAAAAGAGTTACTCGACGTTTCGATGTCAAACATTATCATCAAGTTTTTTAGTTTACTTGGGCAAAAAGTATCGTTCGTTATACCGAGGACTTCCTTACATCGAGGTTTTACTGTGCTTAATAATTTTTCCGGCTGAGATAATCCTGAAATCTGCATGTTGTTGATCCATTACCTAGATTCACAGTTTCACTGCATTCTTTTTTTGTTGTTTTACTACGCAAGTCTTTTTTTTGGCGAAGTATAAGAAACGCGTCTGCCACCGGACTATTTTCTTCTTTCGCGATCGTAGACATCTTTGTTCTTTTAGACGTACTATCAGCTACTTTTGCTTATTTCTCTACTTTTGCCATTTTTAAAGTGTGTTTTGAGGTCCGTCTGTTTCTTTAAATGTAAGTGGCTTAAATGTCTACGCCTCACGCAAATTTTGTGACTTTGAACTTGAAACAGTTTTGAAAATACATCGACAACAAAGTCGTCAGCCCTGGAAACTTAGGATCGGTATAGATAGCCAAGTGATATACGTATGTTGATAGTTGTTAGGCAGGGCACAAAAATCAAAGACAAGCTCTCCTCAAGTAAAGATAAAAAACACGTTCAGTTTCCCATTACCTTTTCTTCTTATTATTCCTCGTTTTTTCAATGTAACTTTAAGTTGCTGAAAAAAAATTAGTTATAGCCACATATTGTGCCATAAAATTCACATTTGGATGAAATAAACACCATCATTAAACTCACTATCCGGACTAGGCTGTTGTGCGAGACAAGGAGACAAATTTAGTTATTCCGCCCAGCTATATAGAACTTTAATTTTTTTTCAACAACGGCAATTATCACGTTGGGCTGACATCCTCAAGGCAGGTGATGCAAGATTAATCCTTCCCTGGATTGAATTCAAAAAATCGTTTTGAGCAAATTTGCTATTAAAACAACAAGCGGAAAGTGTTTAGATTAACCCCCTCCTGAGAATATAAACCGACACTGGGTTGCGGTTTAGAGTTAATTGCTGTTTAATAGCCGATTAGAACCTCTTGAAGTCTTTTATTGTTTAGAGAATTTATGCATGATTTTGTTTAGAAAACTTACATAGTATTCCTATTGTTGTTTCCGGTCTTCATTTGTTTTGTCTCTGTGTGGATTTGTTCATTTTCAATGGCAATATCAGTCATGAATCGATAAAATCGACATGTTGTCCCAATATCTATTGATGCCAATTAAGAAAGCAAACGCCAAAGAAATCCCTGTACAACGACAGTACCAATTTAACTCAATACTTGTCGATGCTGTTTTTGCAGACGGTCGTAAGGAAATCAAAGAATTATTCGATATGAGCTTTCATCTTAGAACTCCTAAAAGTGTCCATTTTTGAAAACCTATAGATCAGCATATATTGGTTCACTTTTTATTTTTAAGCTATTACCTCAAAGTGAAAAATACGTAAGCCCTGTTCACTACCGGGATATGAAGATGAAGAACTAATAAAAGTTTGCCAAGACGCCCAGAAATTAATGATAAATTTAGCAATACAGTGGTGTCCCGTTGAGCTACATTGGATCATCACCGGTATCTGTGCGAATTGTACATCAAATTGCTCTCGTTAATTGGCAATTTAACTGCTTTAGAGAACCTATGTCCTCCTACAGCGAGGTCGTAATTCTTGTAAATAGTACTTTCAACGTTTGAATCTCTTTAAAAACTTTTTTAAAGCTTAAAAATCGCTTGAGCTTCATCCCGTAAAAAAAGAAGTTCTTGGTTATGGAATTTTATGCGACAAGCATTGCTTGAATCGCCACAGTTGGGAATTTTCCTCCATGCTCACGACTTGCACTTTTTGGAGAAAAAAGTTAATTACAAGTCTTATCCTAAATGACATGTCTTGAACATAAATGTGTGTCATGAAGCCCAAAAAAGGATAAATAGAAAACTGTCAGATCAGCGGGTATCGTCCATTGTTGTCATTGGTATTAAATAAAAACACATCAATTATGATTTTAGGTTCTTTTTCTTGTCTTTGTTTTGTGCGGTTTCCACAACGAGACAGTTAAGCATTTTTTTTCTTGAATGTCCTCTTTATTCTGTCCCTAGAGCAAATCTGCCCTCCACTATCTGCTGGTTGCATATTTGCTGGCAGGTGATCTTCTATGTCTAAATCACAAATAAAACTCTGTATGGCTCGCCCTTGCTGTCACTAGAGTAAAATGGCGATTTATTTTTTCATGTTCTGAGTCTTTAACATCTGAATTGATGAGATTTCACAGAAATACCTAAAAAGGCACTTTTCACCTGTTGGCATTCCGCTTTATATCCTTCGCTTTGTTTTGCTGCCGCTTTTAGCAAACTACTTCTTAAGGTAGGTTTTTTTTAAATTTAACAATATTTTCGAATTGAACCCTCTCGAAGTGTTTTGTAACTGTCATGGCAAACTAAATAGTAATAACAGAAACAAAACGTGCCACTCATACCATATACAAGGCTGGACAGCGAGTAGTTTTCAAGGGTAGTTCGAATGAAACAATCAAATCAAATGCTGATATCGCAGATGTTTAATTTATTAGAAACAGGGAGTACATCTACAGCTCATTTGATTTACCACAGCTAGAATCAACGTAATCATCGAGGTTTCCTATAAACGAAAAAGTCATGTCATCGCAGAAAAAGCATTCAAAAATCGCGATATCTATTAATGCAAAAATTTGAGATGCTTTCTGCTCTGCACTTATGTATTCTTTAGAGTTAACAATCGATATAAAATCTTACAAGAAGAAAGAAAACTTAAGCCAACCAGTCTCTGAAACGTACAGAATTTGTTTTGAAAAATGTGTTCAAGTCTGGAGTCAATATATATCTAATTACCGCCTAGAATCGCCTCGTTTGTTCGATTCTCGTCTGTTCTATGGCGTTTGATATTGGTATTGACCAAATAATTATTAATTAATGATAAATCTATTTTATATTAAATCATGTGTATCCTACAACAACGTACATACCAATCCATCTAGTCATAGTGTTCATCATAAGGGCGGGGTTGATACGGCTTCACAGGTTTGTTGTCAACGCTAACCATGACGTCAGAGGTCTGCTTCATAGGAGGACCAATGACATACTCACAACCGTCAGCATCCGGATCTATAACACAAGCAGCAAACTTCTTCATGTGACTCTCGAGGTAACTGAGTGGTGAAGAACCCTGAGATAAAACTTGGTAGTGGAAATCTTTCTCGTTAAACGTTTTTCCCGCTTCTTCGACGGCCTTTCTCGTATCGTTCCTTATTGACCAGATTTTCAGTTGACCAATCATGTATGCCGTGGCCTGGCCCGGGACACTCTGATACCGTGTGACGTCTTTAACGGCTTTGTCTGTTTTGTCCCAGGCCTTATCGGCAAACAGCTTCAGTGCTTGCCATCGTTTCATTCCTGCAAAAGAATCAGGTGAGATGTTTCGGAAGTCCGTATACATGCAGTGGTTTTATCCGCGACCACCTCTGAAAGCCCTGTAGTTGGAACCTCTCTTAAGCGATCACCTCTAGGCGAAGGGTATGCGAATTAGTCTCGGTGCATCATGGAACTACTCATATCGTTACTTAGAAATTGCATGTAATAAATTCTTTACCAAAAAGATGTACCAGGGCATCTTCTCGAAAGAGAGCACGGTGTTTTGATTCTCGGAAGCGACCACTAAATCTTCACATTTTCGCTGGTTGCTGACGGGAATTTTCGACTGTACATTCATTTAAAAAACCTGTGTTCTCTGCTAGAAAATGACTATTAAAAAATTTTCTCCCTGATTCAATCTGAGCTACACATCAGACAAGTTGTACTTGGCTGGCAAAATTAAAACTCTTAGGTGCAAGTTGTACCTCGCCATAGCTTCTTATTGTGTTACAATAATAATAGATTTCAGTTACTCTCACTTAAGTTTGCAAAAAATGGCGACAACAATCAGACGTAAAGCTCCTTTAAAAGGAAAAACGTCTTGATTAGGGATGTGGCACCCCCTACCTTAATGTTCTAATTCCCTGCTGGCAGAGGCCTCTTTTCCCTGGTATTCGGCGGGCGGTCTCTTTTCCTCCCGCCTGCCGAATACCAGGGAAAAGAGGCCTCTAAAAACAGGACACTGTTCTAAGTCAGATGAATAGGCTTCACTGAATAGCGAGTCTGTTGAGAGAAACTTAAAAACACCTTTTAAAACAAATTGCGTAACCTTGCCACGTATTTAATCAGCAGAAGTTTAATAGCGACCGTATATATACCAACAAACCTCTGAAATGGAGGCCGGTGTCCATCATAAGACGCAGTGCCCGCCATACTTGCCATTTGAGCATGCCGTACAACTGAAGAGGGTCGTTATCGTAAGTGTCCGTCTCTTCGGCAATCAGCGGATTCTCGGCGTATAACGCCCAGCCTTCTGTAAACGCAGTGTAGTATGAGGCACTATTAAGCCAGCTTATTACTCCCTTGCAGTCGTCGCCAAATAGTTCACGAAAACCTTGAACCTATTACGTAAGCACAAAAACCGATGTACTCATTAATGATGTTACTACAGGTAGTTAATGTATTTATTAATATTGCCAGCGTTCTTTTACATATACATTTATCATATTTTGTTTAAGCCAACAACTTCTACCGCCTCGAATAGTTTAAATTGTGTGCCGGTAGAAGGTACCTGTCTCTAAGCATTCTCATTTCATCAACAAAATCTTTTTACCTGTTATTTTTCATTCATTTGCTTTCCTTTTTTTATTTTGTAAGCCTTGAACAACACACGGTGCAACATTGGGCTAACGTTGCCAGCGACATCTTTCACTCAGAGTGGCTAAAAGACTCCGCATTTGTTGTTGTCGTTGTTTCTTTAAAATGTGACTTGAGGAAGATTGAAAATTGTGTCTTATGTTCTTGGACAACTTGGTAATGAATTCATGCATGACCATAGTAGTACGCGTTATCAAGACATTAGCAACGGCGTGTTAAGTTCTCTTGGCTTCAAGAAACGAGATTAACTTTAGAGCTCGCTTGTTCGGGCATAAAACCCATGAGATACATATACAGCATTCTGGAAAAAGACCCATTTAATATGCAGGAAGACAAAGTGAAAAGTTACCTACAACACTGCGCGGAGCGTTCTACAGTAGGCCAGGAAACATCCTGCAACAACTGTTGCAAAATTACGCCAAAAAATTTCCCTACGCTCGCTAGTTCATAAGGCTACTACACTTTGTTTCAGCGAGCACCTATCTGAGAAACAAAAATATCTGCTCAAAAACACAGCATGAGGACTAAGATAGTCACCAGCAACAGAAATTAGTAATCAAATGGTGACGAGTGAAATTAGGGAATAATTTCACGCGCGTTTTGTCCTAAGGCGAGGGAAATTATTAGGATTTGGACAAAACGCAAGTGAACTTATTCCCTAATTTCACGAGTATACCATTTGATTACCTATTAATATCATGGGTGACGAATTACGTTAGCAATCTTGGATTTTTGACATGTTTATCCTGGATCGCATCGATCGAGAACTTCCCTCTCTCGAACGTTTAGAGCTTAAATTTGGCTTAAGTTCAGAATTTTTCAACAAAATACCTGTAAGAATCCTTCTTGATGTGCTCTTTCGTGTGTTCAGGTTTTTTAAGGCGTCTTTTTATGCCCTGGCATCTTCGTTCATGACATTTTGAAATTTCGTTGCCATCTTGACACTGAGACGTACGGAAGGTTGCCATGGCAATTTTGTAATTTCACATGTGAAATTACAAATTATCGCTGAAATTTCGCGCCAAAATTAAGGAGCAATTCGTCACCTATGATATTAAAGAAGCTATTGACAGTATCAAGTAATCTACCTGTGTATGGTGTCCAGGCCTGGCCTCATGAGCAGCAACCGAAATAGCGTTGTA